TACTCCAGAAACTTTGTGGGTTTTGTTGTTGTTGTTTTGTTTGTTTTGTTTTGGTTTTTTGTTGGTTTTTTTTTGCTTTGTTTTTGTGGCTGCCACAAACTATGGCCCCTTCCACACAGTTGAATATAATCCCATATTATCTGTTTTGAACTGGAATATATGGCAGTGTGGACTCAGATAACCCAGTTCAAAGCAGATCTTGTGGGATTTTCTGCCTTGATATTCTGGGATAGAGGGCTGCGTGCAAGGGCCCTAAGATAAATGCATTTTCACTTGTAGATATAGGGCTGTGTGGAAGGGGCCTGTGTTGAATTGGTTGGAAATAATTAATTGACAAAAAACTATAGCAAAATATGCTGCAGGAAAGATGCTCCGGAAAGACCATTTATTTACCCCAAGGGGAACTCCAGGCGGTTTACAGATGGCAATTATTAAATGCCTCTTAAACATAAACACATACAACCTTAAGCTTAAAATCCATTGAATTAAAATTAATACATATTTTTAAAAAATTAAAATTACATACAGTTTTAAAATCACACCATTCAAAAACTTTTTTTGCAGTTTAATAAACCTGCCCCCACCTCCCCCATGTTTAGGACCAAATTTATAACCCAGGGGCACAAACATTATTTATGTATTTATTTCCTATATTTATACCCCGTCCTTCTCTCTCCACCCCCAGGGTCCTTCCACACAGCCCTATATTGTGTCCTTCCAACACAGCCCTATATCCCAGAATATCAAGGCAGAAAATCCCACAATACCTGCTGAAGTGGGTTCTCTGAGTCCACACTCAGATAATGTGGGATTTCCTGCCTTGATATTCTGAGATATAGGGCTGTGTGGAAGGACCTATTGTGTTATTTGGCAGTGTAGCTCAGCTCAGCCTGAAATAATTCTACTCAACTAGAGTTGGAAACGGCGCTCCGTGCAGTCATGCCGGCCACATGACCTTGGAGGTGTCTACGGACAACGCCGGCTCTTCGGCTTAGAAATGGAGATGAACACCAACCCCCAGAGTCTAGACTTAATGTCAGGGGAAAACTTTACCTTTACTTAAAGCTGGAATTAGGATATATCTTTGGAAGAGGCATGGACAAACTTAGACCCTCTCCTCCAGGTGTTTCGGACTTCAACTTCCACCATTCCTAACAGCCTCGGGCCCTTAGGCAGCTGAGGGGGAAAAGGATGGAGCCTGAGGCTGTTAGGAAGTCCAAAACACCTGGAGAGGAGGGCCCAAGTTTGCCCATGCCTGGCCTTGAGGAAGGCTTCCCAATGTCCACCAGAGTGACGTGGGAGAGGGGATGACCTCCCTGCACGCACTCCCACTCACCTAACGTGGCCTCGCCTCTCTTGCTTGCTCTCCCTCCCTCCCTCTCTCCCAGGTCTGGTTCCAGAACCGTCGGGCCAAGTGGCGGAAGCGGGAGAAGGCGGGCGCGCAGAGCCACCCTCCGGGCTTGCCCTTCCCGGGCCCGCTCTCGGCCTCGCACCCGCTCAGCCCCTACCTGGACGCCAGCAGCCCCTTTCCGCCTCACCACCCGGCCCTCGACTCCGCTTGGACCGCCGCTGCCGCAGCCGCTGCCGCCGCTGCCGCCGCCTTCCCGGGCCTCCCTCCGCCGCCCCCCGGATCCTCCGCCGCCCTCGCCCCCGGCGCCGGAGCCCCGCTCGGGCTCAGCACTTTCCTCGGCGCCGCCGTCTTCCGCCACCCGGCCTTCATCAGCCCCGCCTTCGGAAGGTAAAGGAGGGGAAGAGGGGGAAGAGAGCCAGGGCAGTCCAAAGGGGTGGGCAGGGGCAAGCTACAGATCAGGCCTGGGCCAACTTGGGCCCTCCAGGTGTTTTGGACTTCAACTCCCACCATTCCTCACAGCCTCAGGCCCTTTCCTTTCCCCCCTCAGCCGCTTAAGCGGCTGAGGGGGGAAAGGAAGGGGCCTGAGGCTGTGAGGAATGGTGGGAGTTGAAGTCCATAACACCTGGAGGGCCCACGTTGGGACAGGCATGATTGACAGTCCCCGAGCAACCCAAGCCTCTATGTATACACTGAGACAAGGTTTTGCATTGGAGGGCAGGGTGCATTTGAGGGACTGCCCATCCTCCCCTTTGCTACTGGGTTGTAAAGGAGTTTCCCCTTGGGCGAGGAGCGGGGCGGGGAAAGGTCTTCTGAATCTTTGGAAATTCACACACACACACACACGTATGACGATCACATGCCACCTCCCTTTCTCCTGATTGGACCCTTATCTTTAAAAGAAAGCACTTCTGGAAAGGACATTTAAAGTCCCTGGTTGGCAATCTTTTTAAAGGGTTGCTGTAAGTTTTCCGAGCTGTATGGCCATTTCCCAGAAGCATTCTCTCCTGATGTTCTGCCCACATGTATGGCAGGCATCCTCAGAGGTTGTGGCATCCGAACAACGACCTCTGAGGATGCCTACCATGGATGTGGGCGAGACGTCAGAAGAGAATGTTTCTAGGACAGGCAAGGGCAAACTTGGGAATGGTGGGAGTTGGAATCCAAAACACCTGGAGGGTCCAAGTTTGTCCATCGCCATACAGCTCGGAAAACTCACAGCAACCCAGGGAAAGTTGTTGTTGTTGTTGTTGTTGTTAATGATGATGTTTTGCGGGTTCCAGTTATTTCCCACCCTAAAACAAACCCATCACTGCTCTGGGGGGATTTGTTAAGAGGGAGTTTGCTTCTGAAGCTGAGAGAGTGTGTCGACCACTCAGTGAAAGTTGCTGAAGTCACAAAAGAGGAGGAAAGGCCTCCAAACCCGATCTGAACGGGAAGTCAAGGATGGGGCGGGTGTTTTATACGTAGCTCCCTTTAAAAAAAAAAAAAGGGGGGGGGGAGCAAGCCATACAATGAAGAGAGGGGAGAAGGCAGTCGTTAATTAAAGAGACAAAGAAACCATTATTAAACCCGAGGAGAGACCTGAAGATGCGAGGGAAAGGTAGCGGAGGAGAACAAAGGAAGAGGAGATGCCACTTGAGAGCATTAGATCAGGAAGGAGGAGGAGGAGGAGATGGGGGAGAAAGGGGGGGGGGAGGCAAGTAGAAAAGGAGGGGGGGGAGGCCCGCCCCATGGAAAAGGCACCCTCGGGGCCTCTCTTTCAAGAGACTCCGTTTCCTGGAAAGAAGGCCGCGGAGCACCCAACTTAGGGGCGAGTTCGTTCGTTCCCCTTCCTTCCTTCCTTCCTCCTTCCTTCCTTCCTTCCTCCTCACCTTCCTTCCTTCCTTCCTCCTTCCTTCCTTCCTTCCTTCCTTCCTTTCTTCCTTCCTTTCCTCTTCCTTCCTTCTCCTTCCTTCCTCCTTCCTTCATTCCTAGAGTGCCGGGTGTCTGGAAGGCAGGGCTTCAGCACCACGGACAGCAGCAGCCGCTCCTCCTCTGACTCTCCTCTTTGCCACAGCCTTCCCTTCCTTCCTTCCTTCCTTCCTTCCTTCCTTCCTTCCTTCCTCCCTCCCTCCCTCCTTCCTTCCTTCCTTCCTTCCTTCCTTCCTTCCTTCCTTCCTTCCTTCCCCCCACCTTTGGAGGTTGTGAAAAGCTCCCAAAACAGGCTGGCGAAAAGGTTCCTCGGTTAAGATAGACGTGCGGGATCAATGAATCAAGAGGGTGTGTGTTTCCAAGGGGCGCTTGCTTGGAAGTGATATCTAGTGATACCCAACTTTTGGTCCAAATTCCAGGGCTTTGGGACGTCACCTCCCAGAAGCCCCAGCCAACTTGGCCAACTCTCAGGGTATTCTGGGAGCTGCAGTCCCTAAGTCCAGGGGGAAATGCTTTTTAGACGACCCGAAGTGAATCGGTCTCCTTGGCAGAGGAAGGGGAAGCCTATTTTGAGCAAACCAGCCGTGGTTGAACTACCACTCCTATCACCCAGTCATAGCCAAGGTTACAAATACTAGGAGTGGCAGTCTAACCACATCTGGGTGGGATACAAGGATCTGGAGCCCTTTCTCTGCCTAGCTGGCTGCCAATCAGTGCGCGGCTGTCTGCAAGGACGTTACTCAGGGGACGCCCAGATGTTTTATCATCTTGTGGGAGGCTTCTCTCATGTCCCCGCATAGGAAGCTGGGGCTGACAGACGGGACATGAGAGAAGCCTCCCACAAGGATGGTTAAACATCAAAAGATCCGGGCGCCCCCTGGGAACGTCCTTGCAGACGGCCAATTCTCTCACACCAGAAGCGACTTGCAGTGTCCTGAGACACACACACACACACAAAACCCCGCTCCCTGGATTCAATCCCCGCTGTCGTCCAGCTTTAAGGTTTAGGAAGGGCGCTGAAGAATCTGGCGATGAGGGAGGCCCAAAGGTGGTTTGAAACTGCATTAAAGTGGTCATCTAGGCTGAGTTTCAACTCGGCAGTGAAGGCAATAGTTTCGCTGAGCAGGTGATTGATTCCCCGGGGGAATCCTGGAACCACTTTGAGGCTGGCATGGTAATGGGGGGGAGGGGGCTAGTGATTGCACGAAGGGCTTTATCTCATCCACATTTGGGGGGGGGGGATTGTTGTCTGGCCACCGCACATGGAAGCTTGCTTGGAAAGGCGTTAAATGCGGAGTGTAGATGAGGCCCAGGCGCTTGTCCTGTGGAGGCGGCAAGGCGGGGCGGGGCGGGGGGAGGGAAGGCCCACGGCGACTCCCTCCCTCTCCCCGCCCGTCAGTCCCGTTGGCGGGGCTTATCCCTGGCTGTCCCCTGTTGCCTCCCAGGCGCGCAGTTCAGTCCCTGGCCGCGATGATGCCCATAATCACCTCGGCGGTTAATGCGGAGCGCGGAGATGGCTCGACGCGCCAGTCAAGGGGGTCAGGGACGGGAGCGGGAGGGAAGGCGAGCTCCCCAGATCCCCGCCGCTGAGCCCGGATGCTGCGAGGCCAGGGCTGCCGGGAAGTAATTGGCCTTCCGCTGCGAGGAAATCCGCGGCTACGGCGCTCCCCGCTGGGTCCCGGCCGCGAAGGGGGCGCTTGGGGGGCTCTCGGGACGGAGGGGAGCCGAGGGGGGATCCCAGGCGAGGCGGAGGCCTGGCCTTGGGACGGGGAGGAAGAAGGAGGAGGAGGAGAAGGGGCCATCCGCCTTCGCCTCGCAGCCCCCTCATTCCCTCCCTCCCTGCCTGCCTGGCTCCCTCCTTCTGCGCGGGGCTGCTGATGGAGTCCTCCCCTCCGTCCGCAGCACCAGCCCAGCTCTTTCCTGACAGGAGGAAATGGGAGAGAATGAGGCACTTTGCAAATAGGCTCCCGGGCTGTCAGCCCCCGGGGGGTTTTCCAGCCTGTCTTTCTCTCCATCTCTCCTTCTTCCTCTCCGCCCCCTTCCTCCCGCTCTTCCTCCTTCCCTCCCTCCCCCCTCCCCACAGACACTCCGTACCATCGTCCTGGGATGCCTGGAAAAGGGGGGACACGAATCACTCCCACGAATTCACAGCCCTCGTTTTTCGGGGGCTACTTCACCCAAATACCAATTAGGCGGCCGGCAGATTTTTTTTTTGAGTTCACTGAACTGACACCCCCACACCTTATTTATTTGCTTTCGACTCTCAATTCAGACTCCATGTGATGTGTTAGGATCTGTGTGGACCTCCAAAGACATTGCGCTTCAAGCCCACCACTCCCACTCCACAACACAGCGTGCTCACCCGGGAACTAGCTGCAATGCCTCCCCTTTCAGGCACCCGCCTCAGGCCTTGTCATGGCCTCTCTCTCAGGCCTCCCCAGGCAGGCAGCAGGCCTTGTCTGTTTGAAAGGGAATTGCAGGGAAGGGGGAAAGCTGGAACCCTCAGCGCCGTTTGCTTTGGCTTTGACAGTTGTCTTTCTTTCTCCCTCTCCCCCTTCCATCCTTCCTTCTTCCATCTATCCTCCATTCCTTCATCTCTCCCTTCAATTCTCCTTTCTACATTTTCTTTCCTCCCTCCCTCTCTTCCTCCCTCCCTCTTCCATCCATCCTCTCTTCATTCCATCTATATATCGCTTCCTCCCTTTTCTATCTCCCTCCCTTTCCTTCCTTCCCTCATTCCTTGTTCTCTTCCTTCCCCCCTTTCCTTCTTTCCACTCTTCCATCCATCTTTTCTGCCTCCTTCCTTCCTTCCTTCCTCTTCCATCCATCCATCCTCCATTCTTCCTTCCTCTTCCATCTATCCTCTCTCCCTCTTCCTTCTTTCCACTCTTCCATCCATCTTTTCTGCCTCCTTCCTTCCTTCCTTCCTCTTCCATCCATCCATCCTCCATTCTTCCTTCCTCTTCCATCTATCCTCTCTCCCTCTTCCTTCTTTCCACTCTTCTATCCATCTTTTCTGCCTTCTTCCTTCCTTCTTTCCTTCCTTCCTTCCTTCCTTCCTTCCTTCCTTCCTTCTTCCTTCTTTCTTTTCCTTCCTCCTTCTTTCCTTCCTCCTCTTCCTTCCTCTTCTCTTCCTTCTTCCCTTTCTTCCTCTCTTCCCTCCTCCCTTCCTCTTCCTTCCCTCCCTTCCATCTTCCATCCCTTCCTTCTTTCCACTCTTCCCTCCACCCTCCCTCCCTCCTTCCCTTCTTCCACCATCTTCCATTCCTTTCCTCTTCCTCTTCCTTCCTCTCTTCCTTCCTTCCCTTTCTCCCTCCTGCAGGCTCTTCTCCACCATGGCCCCGCTGACCAGCGCTTCCACCGCGGCGGCGGCGCTTCTCCGGCAGCCTTCTCCGGCGGTGGAGAGCGCGGTGCACTCGGGGGGCGGGGGCGGGGGCGGCGGGGGCCTCTCGGACCCCTTGGCGGCGGCGGCGGCGGACCGGCGGGCCTCGAGCATCGCGGCGCTGCGGCTGAAGGCCAAGGAGCACGCGGCCCAGCTCACGCAGCTCAACATCCTCCCCGGGAACAGCGCCGCCGGCAAAGAGGTCTGCTAAGAAGAGAAGAGACGCGAGAGAGAGGGAGGGAGAAAGAGGGAGAAAGAAAGAAAGAAAGTGACCGTGAGCTTGAGAGGGACTGAGAGAGAGAGAGAGAGAGAGAGAGAGAGAGAGAGAGAGAGAGCGCTCGTCGCCGGGGAACGACGAATCCAAGACCAAAACCACGTTGGGGGGCAGGGAGTGGGGTGGGAGCGGGGAGGAGTGGGGAAGGAGGGAGAGGACGACACGAGGCAGGACTGAGGAGAGACCTCCGCCGAAGAGAAGAAGAAGGCCGAAGGAGCAGCGCAAGGGAAGGGAGAGAAGGAAGGAGCGGCGCCCCTCCTCCCTCCCAATAGAGACAGCCTGCTCTCTTCTTCCCTGGGAGTGCTTTGCTCGCCCCAATCTCTTCGTTTGGGAACTCCGACGTGGAAGGAAGCAAAAGGGGCGCTGCTGCTGCTGCTGCTGCTATTCTCCTATTTCCTTGGCAGGGCCAAAAAAAAAAAAAGAAAAAGCAAAGCCAGTGACGCGGAGAAGGCGCAAAACAACAACCCACAAACAAACCAACAAAAAAACCTGAACCAGGGCGGGTGGTGATGGCTGGGTCTCTTCTTCTTCTTCTTCTTCTTTTTCTTTTCATTTTTGGTCCTCCGATCGCTACACCAACCAAGGGTTTTTATAGCAAACCAAAGGGAAAAAATATACAGTGCTAGAAAATATGGACTGTTTGAAAAATGAAAAATAATAATGAAATAAATAAATAAAAAGTCACGAAACTGTGATGCTCGGAATACTCTGCTGTACATACATACCACTGTTATTAAAAAAAAGATTCTGAGAAAAAGACAAAAAAAAAACCAAAACCACGCCAGAGCTTTGTGTGTATATATATTATATATATATTCGAAATGTGATATACGAATCGCACTCTGTGTAGTGTTTGTACCCGTTTGTCATTTCTGTAGATTCTTACTGTGTTGTAGATACTAACCCTCGGGGCCCTAGGCAAATATTTATGTACAAACCCCTTTATTTAACTGAGATTTAGGGGAGAGAGAGAGAGAAAGAGCAGAAGGAAGAAAGGAAGGAAAGAAAGAAAGAAAGAAAGAAAGAAAGAAAGAAGGAAAGAAGGAAAGGCGCCGGCACATGTTGTGTAATGTTGTTTTCCTTGCGTTCAAGCGGGCAAGTGTCACCCATAGAAAATAAAACTATATCTATATCTACACCTTTTGATCCACCTGGAGATGCATTGGAAATAAGGGAGGAAAAGGAGACATAGCTTTGGAGTCTTTTGCCTCTTTGCCTGATAATATACAGAGTGGGCCCCGAGTCACAAAGGGCGAAGGCGTCCATGGCCAGAATCACTGGGTTGCTGTGAGTTTTCCGGGCTGTATGACCATGTTTCAGAAACATTCTCTCCTGACATTTCGCCCGCAGCTATGGCAGGCATCCTCAATTAGGCAAGTGGGGTTTATATATCTGTGGAAGGTCCACAAGACCCTGCTTCCCTGAAAATAAGACAGGGTCCTGTATTTTGTTCCAAAAGATGTGTTAGGGCTTATTTTCAGGAGATGTTCTCCCCCACAAATTGATATATTTTATTTAATATATTTAAATTAAATAAATTAAAATAAGTAGGCTTATTTTTGAAGTAGGGCTTATATTTTGAGCATCCTCAAAAATCATGCTAAGGCTTATTTTGAGAGTAGGTCTTATTTTCGGGGAAACAGGGCCATTCAATGGTAGTCAAGGTGGCCAATTGAGAAATTCACATTTGCTTCCAATAGTAAAGCTGTCTTCCTCCCACCCTGGACATTATTCCACAGATATATAAACCTCCCTTGCCTAGTTTCCAACAGACCTCACGACCTCTGAGGGTGCCTGCCATAGATGTGGACGAAATTTCAGAAAGGAATGCTTCTGAAACATAGCCATATAACCCAGAAAACTAAAAAAAATCCCGATGTTTCAATCTTTAGTAACCCCTTTATTGTTTTGTTTTTAATGTCTAACACCACAGCATTATTTATATAATATCTATCGGAAATAAAATGACATTACAACACAATTATTCCCAAAAGTGATTAAAACACCAGGCCCCTTTGTGACTCTTTGGCCCACCTTGGATATATACCTTTCAAATGCAAGAAAGTGAAGTGTTTATTGTGGAGGAAATTTTCCCCATTTTTTTAAAAAAGAGATTTTATAAACAATGTGTGAGGAATGCCTATGAGTGTGGTTGGGTTACAGCTCCACGGTGAGCCGTGAGAGGAGTTGTAGTCCCCCATCTTTTGCTCTGGAGAGTGTCAGGATCGACTTGAGAAACTGCAAGTCGCTTCTGGTGTGAGAGAATTGGCCGTCTAGAAGGAAGACGCCCGGATGTTTTACCTTCCTATGGGAGGCTTCTCTCATATCCCGGCATGGGAAGCTGGAAGGAGCCCTCGGTGGCGCAGTGGGTTAAACCCTTGTGCGGGCAGGACTGAAGACCGACAGGTTGTAGGTTCGAATCTAGGGAGAGCGTGGATGAGCTCCCACTGGAGCTCCCTCTGTCAGCTCCAGCTCCCCATGTGGGGACATGAGAGAAGCCTCCCACAAGGATGGTAAAAACATTGAAACATCCGGGCGTCCCTTGGGTAACGTCCTTGCAGACAGCCAATTCTCTCACATCAGAAGCGACGTGCACTTTCTCAAGTCGCTCCTGACACGGAAAAAAGAGAGAAGGTGGAGCTGAATTAACACGAGGGGAGAGAAGGCATAGACCCGCAGCACAGTCCTAGGACACAACCCAGGCAGAGGGTTAGGTCCGTGGGTTTCTATGGGGTGTGGGGTTGCCGTTTGGACTGAAGGAGAACCGCAAGAATAGGCAAGAGCCGGGAAACCTTGCGCGCCTTTCAGTGGAAGCTGGTTCTCGCCTTCTCAGGAGTGGGTTCAAGAGAGTAGCAAGGCTTGGAGGCGAGTCGGAGGGTGCCTTTGGAGGGGGCCCCCCTCTTCACCTTCCTGCCCAAGGAGGGCTAGCGCGGCTTTGCCAGAAGGGCTTCTCCTCCGACCCAAGAGACCCAAAGGGGGAAGGGGAGAGGCAGAGAGGGGGGGGGGCTTTTGTGCCTCTGCGGCCGACAAACGCGGCCCCTCCGTGGGACTGATCCCCCTCCAGCCCCTTCCCCGCCTTTGACCCAGCCATGGAGCAGAAGCAAATCGCGTGAAATTACCTCCAAGGGATTACACGCCGGCCCCATTCAAAGCCCCCCCCTCCCCGCTTCCCTCGCTCCTTAATCCCGTGTCCTTCTCCGGCTGCAAACAAACCCGAGGCAAAGGCCTCCGATTCCTCCTGCCCAGCTGGCCCCCGAGAGAGCCCTGCGCGCACGCTTCAAAAAAAAAAAAAAATGGGGAGAAGAAAAAAGAGGGTTTCCCCGGATTAAAAAGCCCTTGGATGGATGTCACGCCTGACAAGCCCTCAAAGGCGCCCCTCAAACGCGCGACCTCTTTGGGCTCCTTCTCTCCTGAAAGGCAGGCAGGCAAGCAGGGCCACCTCTCCCGGGACAGGCAGGCACCCCCCCTGCCCCCCCCCTGGAAGCCAGCTGCCCGCATTCTTCGGGGATGAAAGGCCCACGAGAGATTCCCGCCAAATTCCCCCGGGCAGGTGTAGGGTCTTTCTCCTGGACGGAGCCAGGCAAGAGACCTCCAAAAACCCATTCCTCTCCACCTTGGACCTTCCAGACATGACACCACCGATGACAAAACACACAGCCAAGGCTTTGCTTTTCTTCAAATGGTGTGAGATGACAAAATACTTTATTTATTTTTCTTCCCCTCTTCAAATGGGGTGCATGCATTTGGTCCAGTCAAGAAAACCTCATCTGGAAGAGTTTGTCCTACAATGTGGGCCCCTTGACACATTCTATAAATGGATATAAAGATGTTTGTTTGCTCTCTTCTAATGTGTATATTCCACATTAGCAACCCCTTGTTTTCCTTAATAGGGAAATATATCTAAAATGGAGAGGAAGTGCCAGGATAATAACCCTGTGGTAATCTAGAACTGTACAATATACAACAGGCATGGGCAAATTCAACACTAGGGGTATGTTATGGCTGTTTGTTTTCATCTAACCCAGGCCTGGGCAAACTTGGGCTCTCCAGGTGTTTTGGACTTCAACCCCCACCATTCCTAAAACACTAGACATATGTTATGACTGTTTGTTTTCATCTAACCCAGGCCTGGGCAAACTTGGGCCTCCAGGTGTTTTGGACCAACTCTCACCATTCCTCACGCCTCAGGCCCCTTCCTTTTCCCCCTCAGCCGCTTAAGTGAAGGGGCCTGAGGCTGTGAGGAATGCTGGGAGTTGAAGTTCAAAACACTTGGAGGACCCAAGTTTGCCCAGGCTGATCTATACTATCCTTTCGTGGGGCTACAATGGTTGATGCCCTGAAGTCTGTACTGAATTCAACTGGCTAGCCATACACACTAAACCAGGGGTGCCAGGGATGCCGGAGATTTGCCCATGCCTGGTATACAATGTAAAATGAATCCAGGCTAAGATTACAAAGCAGATTTTTTCAAAGCTGTGGAAAGTGAAGAGAACGGCAAAATCATGTTCAGGTGGATTTTTCCTCCCCTCAAGAGTTTGCATTCACACCCAGTGGGCTCTTCAGCGTGTTTGTTTTTATGAGCAAACTGCAGTCCTCCCAAATAACCATACATTTAACTGACAGCACCTTATGCCCACACACATATATATGTATTTTGGAGTATAAAAAAACCCTCCATAGGTGCAATTTTTTAATGGGAGAGGGGGGAAAAGAGAGAACAGTTGCTCTCTGGACATGATTAACAACAGTCGAGTTTGAAGTACATATTTGACTTTAAAGAAAAGGGAATCATTATCAATCCATTACGCATTAAGAAATGTCACTCAGTCTTTTTTATTCCTTCAGCAGAAATCTTTGCAAAGCCAGAATCATACTTCTGCAAGCAGCAATTTTGTTAATCCAGGGGGGTTATTACTCTGGTCCCTTATTAGGATCTACACTACTGCCAAGCAATCCTATAACCGTCTCAAAAGAAGTTTACCTTCGTGTTATAAAACCAGTAGCGGTATTTATACTGTGCAATAATTAGTGTATTACTTGAATCCACTAACAGGTTCATTTTATCTCTGCACAAAACCTCCAGTCTGCTTATAGAAAGCTTGTGCCTCCTTTGGCGCTTGCTAAAGTGGTGAAAGAGTGAATGAAGGCTGGTAGCACTTTCTCTTTTTGCCTTGCCTTTAATTCCCATCTCTTTTTGCTCTCATCCAATTAGTGCAGTGTATTAAGCAGTTTATCATCTCATAGTCAGCTATTGAGAGAAACAAGGCGAACACTTTGCAATAGAGCCTGCTCTCCTTTGACACCCTCAGGTACTTACATATTCCACTGTGCTATGAATAATAGAGGAAGAATAGAGCACTAATTCCCTCATCAAAGAATGCCTTGTCTGCTGCTTTGCTCAACAACACCATTCTGATCAAAAGAAAAGCAATAAAGCTTAGCATAACAAAACGAAACCTACTTATTAGCTTAGTGGTTAAATTAATGCAGAGCCGCTGCTATTCAAAACCAAGGTTTGAAAACAGCCTCCAACAACCTGATAATGCTGCCTTCGGGATGAAGGAATTTTAATCTGAAATTTGAAGCTGGCACAGATGAGATAATCTATTAAACAGCTATAAGAGGAACGCGGGATGAGCGGTTCAATTAAGAAATATTTAGGTGCTTGACAGAAGAGAGGCAAATAAGACAAGAAAAACAGGCAGGAGTTGAGAAATAGCAAAGTAATTTTGTTTACAGGAAGAGAGGATTCTGGCAGAGGACAATTCTTTCTTTCTTTTTTCCCCACAATCCCTTAATGTCAAGTTTAGTTTCTGAACTTTTGTATCTCAAGTCCCCATTCGCCCAACTAAAAAACTCTACCAATAGAAGTTTAAAACTATTACTATATATACAAAATGAAAATATGGGGAGGGCACTCAGTGTAGGCTTGCTCTTAGGAGCCCAGCCTTGTATTTTCAGCCTCTTCACAATTCTACTGCATCATGTAATATATGTATAGATTAATCTACATACAGGAAGATGGCTGGGCACTTCTCAGCCTTTCAAAAGTGCTGAGAAGGCGAAATACTGGAAGCAGGCAGCTCAGTTCAGTTTTTATCTGACCATCTTGAACACCAGACTTTACATTAACCTGGAAACACATTACGTCAGCGTGTTTTCTTTAACCTTTTCTCTTCCACAATGATTAAAGATGACTGTAAATTAAACAGCCATAGTAGATTTTCACATCTACATGTTTAGGGGGAAATGCTCACTTGAGAACGATTCCCGTCTCCAGTTTTCATGGTGCACATATATACACATAGGTTGTTGCATTTTTCATTTTGATTTGTCAGGTAGATCTGCTTTGTATCATCCTATTATGCAAATACATTACACCTTCTGAATGTGAGAGAAGCAAAATATGCGTATTTTTCCAACGCACCATAAGGGGTAAGAAAACAGTCTGGACAATAGCACTGAGGGGCGACTAATCAAGCATGGTGGTCCATATAAGATTCCTCTTTAAATAAGATAGAAATGAGATGATGAGGAAATAAAAGAGGATATATGGACACACCATTAATTTATCCAAGAGCTCTGTAGTAAACACAAAGTTGAGTTTCTCCATTTATTTCAATAGCATATTCATGTACTGAGCAACATGTCATCTAAGCACATGTAGAAACTTTTGAGGACAAGGCAAGGAATACTAAACGGATACAAATATCTTTAAACATGTGTAGTTCCTGATTTCTGTATGTAATCAGTTGCATTAAGTAGCATAAAAATGGTCACTATCTGGGGAATTGTGGGACATCGCTTTAAAAAAAAAACCCAAGTTCTGGTAGGAACTGAATAAGGTAATGTAGCCACTCATGTTTCTTTATAGTTGTATCAACTTTATCCGTTGTTTCAGGAGCCCCGGTGGCGCAATGGGTTAAAACCTTGTAATGGCAGGACTGCTGACCAAAAGGTCAGCGGTTTGAATCCGGGGAGTGGGGTGAGGTTCCATCCGTTAGCTCCAGCTTCTCATGTGGGGACATGAGAGAAGCCTCTCAAAGGATGGGAAAACATCTGGGCGTCCCCTGGGCAGCATCCAGTTTTCTCACATCAGAAGCGACTTGTAGTTTCTCAAGTCACTCCTGACATGTGATCTTGCATTAGTCCAAGGCCAGGATCAAAGTGATATTCTCAAACTCTATTTTTGGAGCATACTATGAGACACATTGATAATGCCTAAGAATTAAAATCTTTTAAGGAGGTAGTTATTACTTTCTGATGGGAAACAGCATTCTGGGTCCTTTCCTTCCTCAATTGCAAAAAAATAAATAAATCTAAACTTGTGGTATAAATTAGTATCACTGTGGTATCTCACTAATAAATTTAACACATGCTCACCATTTGATTTTTTTTTGACATGAAAATTTTTTTAATTATTTTTCTTGGAGAAGTGTTGCACTTTACTTTTGTAATAAAATACTTTTATACATACATTTATATATGAACAGACAACAGTATAAATCTAGAAAATTTTAGTCTAACTCTGTAAAAAAAGTCAAGATCCCATCCTCCCACCCCCAAATACTGTTTGGCGTTTACTACCTTTGTTGATTATTTTACCAGCAGTGAACACTCTAGAGCAGGCATGGGCAAACTTGGGCCCTCCAGGTGTTTTGGACTTCAACTCCCACCATTCCTAACAGCCTCAGGCCCTTTCCTTTTTCCCCTCAGCCGCTTATGCTTATGCGGCTGAGGGGAAAAAGAAAAGGGCCTGAGGCTGTTAGGAATGGTGGGAGTTGAAGTCCAAAACACCTGGAGGGCCCAAGTTTGCCCATGCCTGCTCTAGACCATATTTATAAGTCTCCTAAAGCTTTTCCAGGGCTTTATTTCTTTACTAAAGGATAGCAAGTATTTTGGGGTTGAAATGCATCCCGTTTTTGTATCTTGTGTCTTCTTGTCTCATGATACTAGGTTTTGTTGCCAAAGAACCAAAGTGTACATATATGTGGCAGGGAGAATCTGCCACAAACCAGTGCTGCCTTTCTGCCCTCTTCAGAAGTCAATTGGTGCTTTAGCATTAATTTCCACGCGGTTACTCTGCATTTTATTTGAACAAACACCGCCTGGGAAAAACAAAAACAAAACACCATCTCCCAAAATAGTTTCACAAGTAAATGAATCAAGTATTAATAGGAAGCCTTTAGGTTTAGCATTGTTTTGAATGGCTGTGTGTATGATCACAAACTAGATAAGCAGAAAAAGGGAAAACATTAGTGCTCCTACAGAGACCTCCACTAACCTCTTTTCCTGAGAGCACCTCTACTAAATACCCCGGAGCAAAGTCTAGGATCACTTACATTCCAGCAACTCTCACTGGGAATTATTCAATTAAAGGAGCCATTTCTCCACCCCTTTCTTCCCTTCTAGGGCTAGATATACAACAAACAGATATTTATTGAACATAAGTGGTACAGGTGCCCAGTATAGCTACTCACTTTCAGATAGCTTTTCTTTTCATATTTACTACTGAATAAAGTCAGATTTCATTTCAGTCTTTTTAAGTGACAGACAACAGCACTTGTGCTCAAGTATAAATGGAAAATCAGAAAAAAAAAAGATTTTTGTCTAGAAAAGAGTCCAGAAAAAGCCCTCTTGTCCTATTATCTAAATGCAGTATTTATGTACTGGGATTTCCCACAGATTTTACTATATTAAATGTCTGAAACAGTTTGCCGAGGTTCACTTCAGAGTAGCTGCTCATGGTCAACCAGTGGTCTACAGTGTTCTTCAGCTTTTTGTACATTTCCTTGTTCTTTTCAGCGAAGAATCCCTGGCAATTCAATCGATCTGTTGAGAGAGAGAGATAAACAACACATTAAAAGATCATGGGGAAAAGAATCACCTTTCACAGTCAGTACTGGAAATCATTTCTATCTCATAGATATCTATATCTATAGATTCGTGTGCACTTCTTATGTAGGGAAACCAATTTTCAAAACTTGATTTGTCAAAGTTTCTGTCCAAGATGCTTCTAGCTGTGCGTCCCACTCTTTTAGCGGCCTTTTAAAAGCAATACTTTAATCAGGATGGTTAGGGAAGTGTCAAACCTGTTACATACGGTGAGGCTGAGTCCAGTTTATCAAGAAATTAGTCAGCCTTGCTGTCATGCCCCAACGGAATTGGTGCACCACCTTCTGTCAGTAAATGTCTAGAAGCACTGTTTGTCCATTAATGCTGACTAAATGGGGCTGGAGGAACAGGAACTAGATTCAGCAAGATCACCAGAACCTTTAAAGAGATATAGCGAAGAAGCAAAAAGAACCTCTCTTAGTAGTTTGATCATTTGTCAATATGCTGTCTATGCTCTGAACCCTCTCCATTGGCTGGAATATTTTCAGTGATGAGGGACACTCAGGATGTTGTCCTAATTGCCCCTTTGTAAGTCCCTGTGGAAAGGCTTTGTCTACAATATATCAAAAATGAGATGCGTATTTTATTCTACAGCTCATCTCTCAAAATTTTAAGAAAATGCCATTGTGACAAGCCGTAATCAGAAAATATGGAATTCTCTTGATGAATCAGTTTATGTACTTGTGTATTCATTTTAAGAAATACTTGCATGTTCCTCCCTGACCACACAGAGTCCATATGCTGCTTTGGGCAAATTTGTTGGTATGACAAGCAATTTCTACATTTCAATCCAGTTTTCTAGTGAGTCACATCTGTGGCTACAGTTGTATTAAGAAAACATATTTTAATTACAAACCCCAACAGGAGAGGACAGGAGCAGAAGAAGCTGGCCTATACTAAGACTAATTTTGATCCAGCCCAGTGTTGTTAAGTGAGTGGCCACCACTTTCCTAATGTTTAGGGGCCTTTTACATCACCTCTAGGACTGGGCTGTGGCGCAGCTAGTTAGTAGTCAGCTGCATTAAACCACTACTGACCAAGAAGTCATGAGTTCGAAGCCAGCCAGGTCAGAGTGAGGACCTGACCATTAATAGTCTAGCTTGTTGTCGACCTATGCAGCCCGAACGACAGTTGCATCTGTCAAGCAGGAAATTTAGGTACCGCTTTATGCGGGGGGTGGGTGGGGTACTTTAACTAATTTACGACACCATAAAACCTTCCAGCAGCATGCATAAGAATAAGGAAGTACTACATCAAGGACTCAGTGTCACAAGTGGACGGTGAAGCGGCAGCTCCCTCTGTGGCTGGAATCAAGCATACCCTCATGAAGCCGGAAAGCTGAAATGTTACATTGCCTCTGTGTCCGTCTATATATGTTGTATGTCTAAATGGCATTGAATGTTTGCCATGTATATGTGCACTGTAATCCTCCCTGAGTCCCCTGTGGGGTGAGAAGGGGACTGTAAATAATAAATAAATAAATAAATAAATAAATAAATAAATAAATAAATAAATAAATGGAGACACTTGGGATTGAACCTTGAGATCACAAGGGGAGGTGCAAGGGACTGAACTTGGGTTTTTTTAAGTTATATGCTTCCATCACGTCTATACCAAATTCTGAACAGTGTTGAAGGTTGTTTATGTATTAAAGTGTTTTGAGGAACAGATTAAAGACAGAAGAGTAGCAGCCTGGCAATAAATCTACTTTTCATGGAGTTGTTTGATGGTTCAGTGGAGTAGATTTGACACAGAGAATAAATACATTAAGAAAAGACCAACATTCAGAGGAGGAAAAAGATTACATGCTTGTATTCTGTGTTTTAGTAAAAATATAAAAATATTTTCAAGGCTGACCCAAGATATTTTGCTGGCTAAGGCAAAGGATAACATGATGTTCCCTCCTATGTTCCACCTGCTGAAGCTGAGTGAAGGGCCAATTCAGTACTCACAATGAAAGAGCAGTCTTCGATATACTTACTTGATGACAGCAGGACAGTTCAAATAAATAGGATGGAATGTGTGGCACATATTGCTGTGTTTTCTAAGAAATGAAAGTTGGTCAGGGGTTCAGGAGAAAAGACTACGGGATTGCTGCTCCTGCACCCCAATATGGGTTGCCTGAGGTGTTGCCTTACTCTGCCTAATGGCCCAGGGCAATCTTGGTCAACATTTCATAAGCCCTAACAGGAACTATTTCCCAGCAGATAAGATGGTATTGCTTATGTAAGAGTTTATCTACACAGTGAATCAGGAAGTCATCTCAGCAATACCAGATGGTTTCATGCAAGCCTTTTATCATCTCAAACCCAGCTTGCCATCTGTAAAATAGTGAGTAATAACACTATTGGATGTCATTAATACCTGTACTACTGGCCCTTCTTCCCAGGATGTTAAAAGGATTACTGATATAATACACGTTAAAAGTATAGGTGCCTTGCAAGGGAGTGCTCCTAGATCTTCTTTTGTTCCCAGACTCTCAAGTGAACCCTATGGCTTAGAAGTGCCTTTTTCTCAACTTCAACTATAGCTCTAAGTGTGGCTTTTTGGTGAGGTGTGGCTCTTGGTCCCAGTCATGATAAACATGAGGCTGTCTTTGAAAAGGATTTTAAAATGTCAGCTAGAGCAAATCACAAAAAGCAATTTTAGCCAGGCTAAAATTCCCTTCCTCCTCAAGAGCGGTTTGAATGCTGCATTGGGACTCTGGGAAACCACGGTTCAAACTCCCATTCAGCCATTGAAACTCAATGGCACACACCCTCAGCCTCAAGAAAAGGCAAAGAAAATGCCTTCTGAACAAATCTTGCAATGAGAATACTATAAATTTTATCTCAGTTGCCATAAATTGGAAATGACTTGAAGGCACACACACACACACACAAAACAAGCTCCCCTCCCCCTGCAGTTAGTTGTTGTTGTTTGAATCAGCTTTATCTCTCTAAAAGAGACTACATTTTGTTCTGCTATTGTGCTTTATTGGCTTCTAGTGCATTTCCAAAACCAACACAGTGCTGACCATCATTATTAAACCGCTAAACAACTTAGGGTCATCTCTTTCTACTTTTTTAATTCAGATTTCTATTTGAGAAAAAGTTGGTAGGAAGACAAGGATTGGCTAGATGCAGTGCCCAGGCCACAAATCTCCCTACATGAAGAGATTGATTTAGGAGGGCCTAGAGGCCAGTTATCCATCTCTAGGATCCTTCATGGGCTGTACTTGGTGTGTATGTAAGCAGCAAGTTGTTCATTTTCAGTATTGAATTTTAAAAAGAATGTTTAGATATTAGATTTTACTAGAAACAATAGAACTCCTGTAAAAAGTAACCAATAATTTAAAAGCTAATTTCCCTCTTTCCCATTTTTGGGGGAGATTGATGGTATTGGCTCTCCTGGGCTTGGAAAACAGCCTTAGGTTTGCTCACCACTGGTCCCGATTTTTGTTAACGGGATGTAGGTGTCATAAAAACCTTTTTGTCTCAGTAGACCTGTCTGTTCAGTCAGTGACTTGGTAACCACTAGTTAGTAAATTGGTTTCTCTTAGAAGCAAAATAGTAATTCCAGCCTCATAACAAGGTGAATGGAGATATCTGTGAATCCAGGGAATACTTCTATGAGTGTAGAGTTATTGATACTATTTCCCACCCAATGTTATCTTTTTCCTGAGATTTTTTGCTTCTCCATCAAACCCTTCAGGTCTAAGAGCCAGGGGAAGTTCAGGTCTAAGAGCCCTGAGAACTCTAGATTCAGACCTTTATCTCCTCTGTGCTGTTGGACATTCCTAATATTATATGATTGCTTTTAAAAGTTCGTAATGCTAATTGTATTGAACATCTCTGATATAAAATAAAATGTCAGTATATAAATATTTCTTAAAAGTAAACAAACCAGCAAGTGTTCTGAAATTAACTATGCAAATGCCGAGTCTTCCTGAATATACAGTATATATTTTTTCAAAATGTACTTTATCTCGCCAACAGATGAGGAAATTCTCCACATAGTGGTTTCTACTAATAACAGTGGAAAGACAATAAATTACATCATCCAGACAAGGAATTATCTGAATTCAGTAATATTTTATTTTTGTGGAAAATTCATAATCTTAGTTTGGGGATTTCCTTGAAATCTTAAACCACCTTAAATGCATGTATTATTTCAGGCCAATCCCATTCACTAAAGTTAAGGTAGTATACAGAAGTTCCCAGCACCAACCTTAACTTAGGGATGCTGTGAAGCTGGATGATCTGGGAAAAACTGATTGGTCCAGAGTCATCCAATGAGATTTATTATGGGTGTGGTATGTTCAGTCCAATTCCTGGATCTACTTAGAATCATAGAATTCTATTCTACTTCATTCACTGTTCATAACTGTAAGATCATCCTAGCCATTATAGATGTGACAGCCTTCAAACGAGGAAACTAATTTTGACATATATTCAGTCTTTGAGTGCATCTACACTGTATAATTAATGCAGTTCAACAGAATTTTAACTGCCATGGCTCAATTTTATGAAATCACGGGAGTTGTAGTTCTACAAGGTCTTTAGCCTTCTCAGCCCAATAGTGCTGGTGCTTCACCAAACTAAGGCTCTTCACTCTTTGTTACGCCTTGTTGCTCAAAAGTTTCTCAACCCCCCCCCTTCGCAAAATGCAAGCTTTTGTTTCCTCTTAGACTACTGGCTATTTCCCTTCCTCCTCCTCTTCTTAATCAAAATGCAACTGAACATTTTACAAAGGAAATATATTTCATTAGGCTCCTCCACAAACTTCACTAAGTAAATGTCTTAATTCTGTATAGCATTCACATATTTACATATTGCACACATCTATCTTTGATGTGTCATTGTCATATGAATTCAGATTTGGTTGGTGCTGAATATTGTTGAGAAGATTGATATATTTTTCAACTTCAGAAAGAACCAGGTTAACTTTCTGTGCAT